AGTGTATACTTCCTTTTATAGTGCATAACAAGCCATATGTTGATGTTCTTACCTCTTTAACATGCCGCTTTAAGTGCATGTACACACTCTGTCCAGTTTTACGGTAATGTCTCTCCACGTGTTCTCTTCCAAAACCCAGGAATGAGTTCATACACACATACAGACCACCTTCTGATTCCTAGAGAAATAATGAAACCAGAATAAAGTTAAGTCAAATTGTTTAGAATTATCAGGTTCTATCTGACATTTTTGTCAAAATTGAGTTATTCATAGATTCTTCTAACTTATTTACGTGCTGTTTTTGTATATGTTGTTTACATTTTAAGACTTTTTGTTTAAAAAATAAAAAAGGTTTTATCTACAAAGTCGAACTCTAGCTTGGCTCTATAGGGTAGAGCCTTTAGCTCTCTGTGAGACCATTCAGCACTTCTGTGAGCCAACAGCATTTCGAATGCAAGCACGAAGACCAATCATGAATCATGAATTAAACTCATTTGTTCATTGTCTGTTTTCTTTTAAAGTCTTTAAATTTGCCTTGAAGCTTTGAAGAGCAAATAAATAAATATAATTCAATAATTAATATAAACTATGTCATTCATTTTAATTAAATTAAATTAACAGCTGCACTGGATGACATATTAAACACATCCTTATATGCTTAATTTGAACAACAAATAAACATTAAATAAATGTTTTAGAGAGCAACTCTCAAACATCAACATATTGTTACAACACCAATTTTGTTTTTATTATTATTAAATTAATAAGCAGGCTGATTGTATTTCTTAAAAAGTAATGCTTCAATTAATTATCTGACAGACAGAACCTTTTAAATCCAAGCAGAGAATGACTTTTTAGAATTAGAAGACTCAACCTGCATTTGACCTGTTTGTTTTACCCCAACTTGCAAATTTAAGAGAACTTTGATCATTTACATTTAGTGCACTTTTGGGGTCTCTGTCATATTTATGTATGAAAAAGAACCATTACACACATATTGTTTGCTATATGGAATGCAAAAACTTTGAAGCTCAATATCTTAAAATAATTCAGAACGAGGACAGAACCTTTTAATTCTAAAGCAATAAAATGTGTGCCAGTGTGTTTTATTAGTTGGTTACATTAACAGACACACTGTGTGAATATATAACCGCTTTTATAGGGCAAAATCTCAAAGAGCAAGACACCTTCTTTTCACAAACTGCACTGAAATTTGTCATGTATCTGACATGTATTGGAAATACAAAATATGGACATTAACATACAATTATGGGTTATAAAAAGACAAAAGTGTTCAACAGTGTCCAAACATGTGTGCCTTTTACTTAAGGATTCAAAGAGTTAGTCAAGAAAAAAAAATTATATGGAAGTCAACGATTTTCTGGTTTCCAGAACATTTTTCAAAATATCAAAATGTTTTGTGTTCAACCTCAAACAGGTTGTGATAAGTGAATGCTGAGTTACTGATAAAATAATTGTCAGTTTTGGGGGAAGTATGCCTTTAAATTACTACTGCAATAACAAAGTTTCTGAAAGTTCTCCAATTCTGTTGTTGGACATGATAATAATGCTTCATCAGGTTTATGCTACCTACATAAAGATTGGTAAACTGTTTCTGAAAGAAATCTCTTCAGCTCACAAAGCATTCACTTATTAATATGATGATTTGTTCATGATTATTATCAGTGTTCAAAACAGTTCTACTACTTCATATTTTCATACAAACTGTGCTATAATGCCATACAATTACAATTAACTCATAATATTAATCAAAGTGCGTAAATGTCACATATTACCAAACATTTTCTTTTAAATAAATCCTGTTATTTTTTTATTTTTTTTACTTTCTATTCATTAAAGAATGCTAAAAAGTAAAAATAATGTTACCAAATTATGAAACAATAACAGATAATATGAAGAACTTTAACAATTCATAACGGCAAGCAAAAATATTAGAATGACACTGAAGACTGGAGTTTTGATACTGAAAGCTCAATATTGAATAACAGAAATTAAATTACATTTTAAACTAAGTTTACACAGAAACAATTGTTTCAAATTATAATATAGTTCACAATATACATTTTTATTATATTTTTGATCAAATGAAAGAGCACTGGTGACCAGAAGCATTAAAAGCCTTTACACATGTAGTCTATATTGCAACAGCATTGCTTTTCTTGTTATATGCAGCCACTTTTGGGTGGTTATTAAGATTATTCACATAATAATATAACGGCATATGGTTTGTTTTTTTGTGTTATGTTTTGTTTATGTTATTTTGCTTAGTCAACGAAAGTTTTGTTCATTTTACAATCTTACTTTTACACAATATAAAACAATCATAAATAATAGTCAAACCTTTCTGAGAAAATTCTGAATCAAAACACTGTGATAAAGTGGCGGTGTGTGTTGGTTAGGGTGTTGAGGGGCCACCAGACTGAAAAACCTGTCACTTGCTCCTAGTGACACACGAGCTTCAACAGATAGTGTGTAAAAATAACCTGTCTTTTAGTCTGACATGATGAACTCCAAACAGCTGAGTCACCTTTAAAACTTTTACAGCTGAGAGACAGTTGTACACATTTATGAAAAAGTTCATAGCGTTCTACAAATTATATGCTATTACACATAATTTGTGGACAGTGTGTGTTCACTCCAGTACAACAACCCAAGTTGACCTGGATTCTTTTTATAGGTTGTGTGTGGGACATGCTTATGTGCTTTTGAATTTACATTTAGGAAATCTCAGTTTTTACATTTATTAATCAAGCTTTATCTGGCGTTGTCCCTTAATAACAAAAAAATGATGTGTAATAATGTACAGACATAAAGGATTATTAAAATTAAAAAATAAAAATAAATATAGGATAAATTAAAATGTACTCACTATTTACTCACCCTCAAGTAGTTTCAAACCTTTATGAGTTTCTTTCTTGGATTTAACACAAAAGACAATATTTAATGACGAAAACGTGTAACCACTGACTTTTATTGTAGGAAACAATACAATGGAAGTCAGTGGTTACAGGTTTCAAACATTCTTCAAAATATAGCCCAGCTATTTCTTGTGTTTAACAGAAGAAAGCCCATAAAGGTTGGAAACAAGAAAATGATAGACAAAATTTTGCTGTTTGGGTGAACTATCTCTCAACAAGTACAACACTAGGCGACTACATGTGGATGGGAGGATGTCGAATGCAAAACTATTGCTCTGACACGCCTTCAAAACATGACAAAAAATAACGTAATCCAGCGGTTTAGCAGACTTTCAGTGTTTATGTAGCTAATTACCATTATGTATGAGAATCTCGTACGGTATAACGCCATTTATATGAGGCGAACCTGCTCCCGCTGTAAGATGTAAACACCCGTGTGTTATTTATTTAATTCTGAAGGCTGTCACATAAGTTTAGCGGGAGAATGGTGGCTGATGATCCCCAGTTTCTCTCTTCTAATCGTTATAATGCAGTTTTTTCACGTGTTTGAGGGACGCCAGTTGTTGTTTAACGCTCATGCATGGAAGTATTTGACGCGATACTCACAGGAGAGTCGTAGGAAAAAGCGCACTCGCTCTTGAAAACCCTGTCTCCTGTCCTCGGTACTCTAATGGTGGGCATGTACGGGACCAGCAGCTCTCCCAGATCTGTAGCCATCTTCACATTCCTGCTGCTCGCACCACTGTGAGCCTCAGCCTCGGCGGAGCAGCGTGTCAGGCTGAAGAGGAGATCGGGCTATTTTTAAATCACACAGACCCGACATTCCTCATGGACCGACACTGGGATGTGACGACGAAAACATTGAGACATGCAAAGATGAAGGTGGGTGGAGGGGGGTGTGCAGGAGTGGGAAAACAATGGGTGTCCCCTTCGAGAAATATTCGGTATTTGACATTATTCACCCTGACGCCAAACGGTGGCGTTTTCAGAACTGCACACACTGCGTTTGATGCGTTTATTTTAGAAATCAAAATAGCGCCACATGCGTCAAGCTGTAGTGCTGTTTAATTGCTTGTTTTGTTTTGTTGTTTGTTTGTTTTTGATGTAATTTATTTTTTATAGTTTTCCATGAAAGAAATTAATTGTATGATCAATTTTACAGTTTGTGTCAACGATATTTAGTTATCAACCTATGCTATGGTATAACCTACATATGGGTGATTATAAAAGAGAGGGTAGCCTACATTTTGCGTCTCCAAGTTAAACCTACTTTTTCCAAAACAAAAAAAATATATGAAGAGTTGCATGACACATCAATTTTTCGTATTTATCATTTTGCATAATTTCAAATCAATAATTGATTGAGTGTATTGTAAATTATACATTTGCTGTCAAATTTCCAGTTTAAGGAAAATTTATGAATAATGCTTAAAAAAAACCCACAATTCTGTAATGAGTGACATATTATGTAAAACACATGTTGAAATTGATGTTTTAGACAACAAGTGTTAGCCGTTTTATTTTCTTCACTGATTGGAAGAGTTTATGAACCAAACAAAATTATTCCAATGAATGAGCACATTACTATAATAATGGGTATTATGGAAGGTGGCTTCTGATTCTAGTGGGACCTGACTGCAAAAGAAAAAAAAAAAAAGAGAGAGAGAAAATAATCCCAAAATGTTTAGTGGCTATTTGTTTATTTGCAATCATGTGAATGCTTTAATTTTTTTTTTACTCCAATTTTGAACATTTGTATTAAAACAAATATTTTAGTAATACTTTGATTCCATTTTTTCTCGTGTGTGCTTGGCTGTAAAAGCAAACTAATTAAATATTTAAAAATAGGTTACTCTTTCACAAAAAAAATGACCATAAGTGGACTCATTAGCATTTCATTCCATATCCAAGATCAATAAACAATGTCTGTATAGGTTTCCAGTTGGTCTGCTGCCATACTGCGATAAATTCTGTACTGAACAGATTAAAATGAATAGCGATGACAGAATTTCCGTTTTGGGGTAAACGGCAACAACTTAAACAATACACAATAGCAGTCACTTATAATAATTAGTTTATTAGTGCCCGAGGCAAAGAAAAAGGAAAAGACATTTCTAATAATAACATAACATTATACATTGTATAATGCCTGAATATTTTGGACAGGTCTACATGAACCCTCCTAATTATCAGGGGTTGACTTGATGCTGTTGTCGATGAGCTCCTTATCAATCGTAGGAATTTGGAACCAGGGTCCATCTCCTTTTTCTCTCATGTGTTGGCGAACTTCATTGTGCATTTTCCTGCAACAAACATATCGAAAGAAAAAACAAAAAGAGTTCAAACTATGCTACAACAAAACAAGATTGACATTCTACAACAATTTAAGTGTTCTGTAATTGTACATTTTCTTATTGATTCTTCCATATGTTTACCCTACAGAAGAGGTCTCTCTTTTCTTTTAACCTTCTACATGATTTATTAATGAAATGATGATATTTTCTTTACCTGATGGCACCTCACGCTCAGAATCAACTTGCATTGTGTATAGTGTGAATCACTTCAGTCTGCAAACTAAGTTGTCTTTTGCATGTCATGTTTCTCTTTAATGGACAAATACACTCACAAATATGCCAAAAATCACATTTAAAAAATGTAAAAAGGTGGAAGATCATAGCATGTGTATTATTAATTTAAATCCTTGCTTTAGCCACCTCAAAGTGACCATGATATTTCTTCTGTTAATTCGATGAATCAATCAACCATTCGTAAAGATGATGTTTTTCCCAATGCGTTCAACCACTCAATCATATTTGAGCTTTATATGGTTATTTTGTCATTCAACATGGAAGTCTTATACCGCTATATTAAATAATAGTGCATAAGTACATGAACTGGGATGAACCAAGTCACTAGTTGACTTGTTCTTCTTACATTGATGTTCATCAGCTAATAATATTCAGTGAGGGGAAAAAATACATTAAAAAAATGATGAAAAGGCTTGCAATACAATGTTTAGATTTTGAATTTTATTTACGGATATTGTAGATTGTGCCTCAAAAGTTTTTTAATAAAGCATTTTCTATTTCATTTATATATATTTACAAAATATTTCTGCACTTTTAATAAGGGTGTCACGATCTTCCAAATCCTCGATTCGATTACATTTTCGATTCTAACGGCACGATTCGATTCGATTTTTGATTATGAATAATTAATTAATTGATGACCAATTAATTATTTGTAGCCTACTGTTTAAACTACCTGACCTGCATGGTCTTTGTTTTACCCATAAACAAATCATACAGTAAATGAATAAAGGCAAGTTACACTCATAATTACCACCTGTCAATCACTTTTTTCTGCGGGACTCGTGAATAGGCAGTGATCTGTGTCGTTATAATGGCGTCGGTAAAAAAGATGCAAAACTAACAGGAACCAGCCAACAGTATCTGAGGTGTTCGCTAAAATGACTAAGTACAAGTGAAGCCTAGTTCACACTACAGGATTTTAAACATCAGCAGATCGCTGTGCTGTTCACACTACATGACTTGACTTTGTGTCTTTTAATCTCTGAGGTGTTCACACTACGCAACACTCTGTGAACGATCCACAAGAGGGGGGTCACACACTACATGATCTGACAACAACTCATTCCCCATCAGCTCATTCAAGCTACCAAACCACAGCCAATGAAATTTTGAGGGAGGAGTCATCAGAAAAAGCCGAACACTATTGGCTGCTTGTGTGCTGATTACATCACTGACAACGTTTCAAGCTTTGGAGAAAGCATTTAAAAACATCGTCAAATCAGCTGATTTATCAGCGGATTAATCACTGATCTGCAGGTTCCAGTGGATAGATACACAGAGTTTTTAATTTTTGTAATTGTATAACTCTTTGAAATAAAACTAACATATTTATAACACCCTGCCGTTTTCTAACTATCAGTGTATTTCTTTCTGACACTGTTATTTTTTTTTATTACAAAACAGTAAAGAACTGAGCATTTCTGCCTTAAATTACCATATTGGTTAAAATGACTGCATGTATGTCTGATACTTTTCACTGTGACTTTAAATATGTGTGCATTTTCTTGCCTAGCAATTTCCTGCTAACATAAACAAAACTTTCTGATGGCAAAAACATCAATTTACTTCAGATATCTTTCAAAACAGCATATTATATGCTGTGAAATAGCTCCTGTTTGAAAGTGAAAATAAAAGCTAAGACCTTTAAGTGTTTTAGTATCTTAACTACATATTTATAGGCTGTATTACCAAAAAAAGATTATATTTTTAGGGTAATAGTGTCATTAAATATGATGCCAGACATTCAAAGCTTAATTTTAATATCTCAATAAAAGCTTTGAATGTAAATATGTTGTGACAATATGGCGTTTTATATGAGAACGATCAGAATGAGCTGTATGGTAATTCTAATAGTTACAGAATTCTAGTTCCACTGTTAATATAGCCTACTCTCATGTCTGTGCTAACGCAGAATGAAGCGAGTGCACTGATGCCCATTCTGACCAATCATAGATGTTTCTGCTGAGCTCCTGAACACACAGCCATTCAGCTCATGCTGATATGCTCTCTCATTGGCTGTAGCTCGTCACTACATCTGACCACACGTGGGGTTGAGTCGGCCGACTGCTCTGGAATATTTAGCATGCTGAATGTTGGATTTCCGTCTGTGAGGTGTCGGCGACGCGTAAAGAGCATAAAGATAACACATAACACATAAAGAGCGCCGAGCACCCGCAGATTTCTTCCAGATCACAGCCCGATCTCTCGGCGAGCTCGTTAACTTCCAAATCGGGCTCAAATCAGGCTTAAAATCCTCTAGTGTGAACTAGGCATGAGTGAAAGATTGAAGCAGTCCTCTGACTGCCTAGACCCGCTGTGTGTGCATCTGTGTCTGTGTGGTCACGTGATGTGCATTGTCAGAGGTAGAGAGGAAGGAGGGCTGCTCAGAAATGCTACATGCCACTGTGTATGTCAAATCGTTGTCGTTCTAAAATGCCATTTAAAAACAAAGACAGTGTAAACAGGGCCTGAGTGTGTACTTTTCGCGAGCGGATTTGCAACGGGGGCGGGCGGAGGATCGCAATGCCGGTGTTGTCTATCGGACGAACCGTACGCAATACGTACATAACAGAGCTTGCAAAACTGTGTTTTTTTTTTTGTCGACAACACGAACGTTGTCAACATAACTCACTGGAAATCCAAAATGCTTACACACCGGCGACTTCATTGAAAGAGGAGAGGGTTTAAGTTCTGTCGACGGGTCTCCTGCTTCTGCAGTTTAACGAGCACTTCAACAAGCCTGTTTTTTCCCGCTTGGCAAGCCAAGCTGATGTGACATGGGGGCGTGGCAGCATCGACGATTCTATTTTTTTATTTGATAATCGAAATGGAGCATAAATTTCGATCGATTTCGATTAAAAATCGAAATCGTGACACCCCTAACTTTTAAACATTTGCCCAGAAGTTCAAAATAAAGAGAAATCATTCAAATATGAATAAGTACACTGAAAAAAATATTCAAAGATGATTTCTTGGATTTAATAATTTTATGTCAACTGGTTGTAACCAATTTATTTGGGATGAATTTACACTAACAAATTCAGATGAAGATTACTAAATTTGTTTGTTTAAATTTGATCCATACAAGGTGTTTGCAACAATTTTGTAGAAATCATTTTTTTCAGTGTACATATTTGAATATATACTTTTTAACCCACTTTATATTATGTCTGAATCAGGCAGTGTAGAGCATTGTTCAAATAAAAGGCAGTGCGGTTTTTAATGGCATGACAGTTTACCGGAAGCGCCTGAGTGAGTGAGTTTAATCAGAATGAAAAGTCCAAGGTCGCACAGCTACCTTTGCTAGGAACAGTCTTTAAATGCATTTTGCAGCGGGATGTTTGTTTCCAAAACAACTCCATGAAATGAATGACACTGGGGGAAACTACGAGAGCCCAGAGGAGCATTGGTGGATGTTAGAGTGAGAACCAATTTACACTGAAACAAACTGATGGAAACTATACATTCAGGTTAATCGATAAAATCGATTTTTTGTCCAGGCCATACATGAATTACCTCTATTCTCCTGTTAACGCATTACTGCATCCAGGCACTCCATCAACCCAAACCAACTAATAGTGCTAATATACAGTAGTCAACATTCAAAGTAGATCTAAACCTTTCATCAAAGTTGCCCTAAAACCATTCAACAACACCCATTCTTTTTGTAGGACAATGATGAAAAGCTTATTGATCCACTTCAAATGTTGACTACTGTACACTAATGTGAAAACCATGATGCCAACTATATATTTCAAACAGACATCTCAGATGAACAGAGTTTTGAATCTTTCAAGAGTCATTAATATCAATATCAATATACAAGACACCATGAGCTCAGACCCTGCATTTTTTTAACACTGTATTAACACGAATTTTAGGTGATCCAAGCGCAAATGGTCAGCCAATACTCAATGGTGTTTCCACCAGTCATTAATCCATTTTAATACATAATTTGTGTTTTTATATTGCCAAATCCATTTTCTCTAATTTTACCACACACTACAACCTCAGTCAATGAACTGGTACAAAGTAGCGTAGGTGACTCTAGTTTATCGTTTCTCAACTGGTGGGTCGCGACCCACATTTTCAGTGGGTCCTGGAGTGTGTGGTCAAAAAAACAACAGAAGTTAAATTTTTTACTTATTTTGCTTATACCAGACTGTTATTTTGAAATGCGTGCGCGACAACCCTACCATTTGACATGTGAAATTTCATTTAATTATAGCAACAAATATGTCGAAGCGCAAGTACGACCCCGAATATGTAAAGTATGGATTTACATATATTGACGACAAAAAAAGACTTAAAGCCTCAGTGTCATATGTAGTGAGGTGCTCCTATAAGAGAGCATGAAACCTTCTAAATTAAAACGACATTTAGAAACCAGACAACATGTTTTATTAACAGTTAAGTAACTGAACCTTTCCTTACCCTAACCACTGTTTACAGTATTTGTTGTTTTTACTTTGTGATATTTGTATACTTCGATACATTTTGTTAAATGACAGCAATAAAATATTGTTTATTTGCAAGTCTTGGTGATTTTGATTTATCTGTCACTACTTGTATATGTTCACAAAAAAATACAAATTAATTATAATTTCCAAAATTGGATTATAGTTCCTAAAGATTTGGGTCACGGCTTGATGTCCAGTGTAAAAATGTGGGTCCATTGGCCAATCCAGTTGAGAACCCCTGCTCTAGTTTAAATTTAATTACATCTTAAAGTGATCAAAAGTGGCTCAAAATAATTTAGACTCCATTTACACCAGTATTTAGTGTTGCACATCATTGTAATTGGTTTGATAAATATATGTCTAAGTATCCGGTTTAAACAGGGCCATTTTAAAAGCTTAAATCAAATGCATGATATGAATAAATAAACAATGCTAATAACAGCTATAAAGAGGGTGTAGAGGCTTGGACCCAAAAACATGAGTCCTTATGTTATGATAACTTTACTAACATCAACTTTAACTAACAATAGAGGTGACATTATTACAGTGCGAATTAATCTTTGTTTTAAGGAAAAAATTATCCGTTCATTGACAGTTCATTAAATGATATCAAACATGAACACTTCATATGTAAATTTTGTGAAAAAAAAACCTTTAAAAAAAAGGAAAATCATATTTATGTTACCTTGTAAGTTATCAAATGAATATTTCTTATAAAATGCTAACAAAAATACAACATTAAAACAATTTGCAATTAATTAGATGTTAATGTGATCTTACCTCATTTCAGCCTTCTCTGTTTCCATCTGGATAAGTGCCAACATTTTCTCGTAATCCTTTACTGGGCTGTCATAAACATAACGAGCAATCCAGCGGGTGATTGGATGCTATCAAAGGCAATGCAGACAACCAATGAATAACAAGACATGGCCCATTACAACAGCAACACAAATTTTTACAATTAATAATGTGCAATTTTTGCAGGCATTAACAGTGTATAAGCAAAGTACCTTGTAGTATTCCCAGTGCTCTGGTTCATAGCCTTCAGGAGTCTCTGCTAACTCACAATCTCCTGTTTGATGCAATGTATAAAGCAATCAAGTTATGTTAGCATGTAAGCAATAAAATTGAAAACTGTCAAGAAACTTACCAATGAAAACATTAACACTCGTCACAAACACTGCCATGGGGATGCCAGTGAGAAGGACATAAAACTTCTGCAGTAATGAAGCAAGAGATAAACAAAAAGAACGGAAATGTGTTATTTGACTAAGAATGTTCAGCATTCCTAATAATTTGCAACTTAAGTAGAGTAATTTTAAAAGGCTTTACCAGGAGTTTAAGAAACCTTTTATCATAGAAGGATGAGGGCTGGATCATAAACATCCGTTTACCATGGCTCCCATGACGGACAACCACTGAAAAACAATAGGATATGTTAAATATATGTACAAATGAAATAAAAGAGCAATTATACAGAGTTTTACAGTTAACCCAAATTAAAACGGCGTACAGTTATTAGCATTGTAATGAAAAAAATATGAATTAAATGTTGCATACAAAACAATAGTCACGTTTTATGCTTGTCTGATTTCGTACATTGCATGTACTTATACAAACAAGAATATAAATACTTTTGTTTGACAAACATATTAACTCTATGTCTATCTAAAAACGACGGTAAAGGATAAAGTTGGGATTATTTTGAGGCCAGCTTGTTGTACTCTTGACATGCTAAGCAAGGTCACTGCTAGGAATGATAGTCACAGAGGGACACATCGTTGCGTTTAGAAATAGTGACTATTCTTTACCTTGTTCTGAACGTGCAACGGCCCTGGAAAGCAGATTTGAAGACTGAGATGTTCGTTTCAGCGGGTTTAATCGGGCTGTAAAAGCAGCCGCTGAGCGGAATATGCTCATGCCCACCATGACTGTTGAGGGAGTGCGTGAACACCGGCTTCTCTGATTGGCTGATCGTCCGCAGAGTGAAGCCATGTTCGCCATTGATACTGAGGGCAAGATAAAAATTCAAAATAAAAGACGACTCTTCAAACGCTGGTTTACAAAATAAAACGATTTAAATGATTTATGTTATGAATGAGACATTTAAAGATAACATTTATTATAAAGAATCTACATGAGCAGTTATTGAATTTCAACAATAAGTAGTTTTGTTTTAAACTTTATTGTGTTATTCTTGGTGAATTAAGTGTATTCATTGATTTTTTTGTCAAATAAAAAAGTAAAAAACCAAAGAAATATTAATTTAAATGTAAAGCGTCCATGGTTACAAGCAATTTTTAATTTTATGTTAAATAGTTAAGTTAGTTACGTGCATGTGAAGAAATATGTCGAATACATCTTTCTGTCCACGGGGTGGCGCTGCTCGCTTCCGCTCATCGTTTTGTTTGACATTGTCAAGATGGCGGCGGCCGTAACAAGCCGCCTGACTGCTGCTGTCTGTAGACAATTTCAGCGTTTTGTCACAGTGTCTGCTCACGCAAAGCCACAATTTGCGACGTCCACATTTCAACCGTGTCATCAAAGGTACTTTGTTTTGCTGGTTGTATATATCAGTGCGTCGTTGACGGTGCATAAATGAGCATGATTTAGTACGTTACTAATATCTGTTTTCATGTTTTTGGCAATTTAGACAAGTGGCTGACTCGTGGTGGTTCAGAAGTTCTTTGAATAGCCGATCTCTCCACACAACGTGTGTCAGAAAAGGGCTGGATGAATTTTTTGACTTGCCAGAAAACTGGGGTGAAGAAACTGTAAAATCAGGTATCAAATCCTACGTTTCTATCAGTTAGCTGTTACTCATACTTTAGGGTCCATACCTTGCACTTGGGAGACATAAAGTGACGTTAGTAGTAGTAATCTTCCATCATCGCTTGACTGGTAATAATGTTGTCATACATTTGTTGTTGTTTCATCATAGGTGCTCCATGGACTGCAAAACAGCTAAGGGTGAAAAGTAACGAAGATTTGCATAAACTTTGGTAATTGAGTAGGATTTTTACAGTCTGAAGACTTAAGCAGACAACAGTTATGCTTATTGGCCCATATTTCTTGTATTTTCAGGTATGTTCTCTTGAAGGAAAAGCATATGTTACTCACTGTAGAACAGGAAGCCAAGCGGCAGTGTGTTCAGATGCCCAGTCCAGAGCGCATCAAAAAGGTATTAAAAGTTTTATTAAAATGTTCCGTGTCTGTTGGTTAAATAATCCATTGAATATCGCTGTACAGTGTGACACAGAATGTACATGGTTTACTGTGTATCCCATTGCATGTACGTAATCATTCATTAAGATTGGAGTCAAAAAGTTGTAGTTTTTTATTTTATTAGTACTTTTATTAAAGAAATACACATACAATTTTCATTTCTTTATTAAAATATCATCTTACAACTACGTCTTCTCAATGGAAGTAAGTCAGGGCCAAGAATCTAAAAACACTTGAAATTGTGACAACACTTGATTGTCAACCATTGTCAACCAAAATGACTATTTTTTTATCCATTTCTCAGTGAATATAGGCAATGTATTTTGGTGAGAGGGAGTAAAATCTGTGGCAGGGACAGCTGCCACTAAATCTGCCACAGCTAAGTGCACCTGCCACAAATACCTGCCACTCTACCCATCACGGCTAGAGGCAACTGCGTCTGAACCTGCCACTGCTGGGCGCGCCTGCTACAGTTTTATGTGCCTGCCACAAATACCAGCCACTGTTTTGTAAGCCTGCCATGGCACTGCCACAGTTGTACGCACATGCCATGGTTATGCGTGGTTGATACGGCACCCGCCACGGTTATACAGGTCTGCTATGGAACCTGCCATGGTTATGCACGGCTATGAGTATGTGCGGCTGATATGGAACTGTCACGGTTAAACCGGTCTGCTTTGGAACCCGCCACTGTAATTTGCGGTAATCAAGAATGTGTTTTATTAAAAATCATTTTCTCACACCCTCACCACCACAACTTGGACACGAAACAACTTAATGCCGAAAAAGCACGCTCTAAATGTATGCTCTGCTGGTGAAAAATGGTGACTTAGAACAGTCAGTATATCAAATAATAATCCAAAGGGGCACCACAATTTGAACTGTTACTTTTGTCCTTGTAACGCATTTGTTGCCAACAAGGATTTTCTAGGCATACCGATGATAGCCAGATTTGAAAGTTTGAACAGACTTCAGTCCACTACACAAGGCAAATGCGTCCATTTGTGTTTTGAAATCATTTACAATAGATTGTCTTTTTAGGCTACAGTTGACCCTAAACCTTTTTCTTTTTTTCCAAGGTGTTTTGCTGTAAGCTTAAACCTCTTTTTTATTGTGGATGACCTGAAATCAGGATATTAAAATTCCCTGTTAATTCCAGCTTTTCCTGGCTGCACAGATGTCTTTTGCTCATGGTGTAGGCTAGAAATCCAGAAACGCATAACAGTGTGGCCATTAACCGTGACCGGTTCTGTGGCGGCGCATATAACTGCAATGATTTCTGTAGCAGCCGCATATAAAAGAGGCGGGCTCCGTGGCAGGCCCATATAACCGTAGCGGATTCTGTATCAGCCGCTTATTACCATGTCGGATTCCATATCAGCCGCGCATAACCGTGGCGGGTGCCGGAGCAGCCGTGCATAACCATGGCGTGTGCTGTGGCAGGCTTACAAAACAGTGGCAAGTATTTGTGGCAGGCACATAAAACCGTGGCGGGTGCCGTGGCAAGCGCGCTCAGCAGTGGCAGGTTTAGAGGCAGCTGCCTCTAGCAGAAGTGGCAGGTATTTGTGGCAGGCGCACTTAGCTGTGGCTAGTTTAAAGGCAGCTGCCCCTGGCATGGAGAGATTTTACTCCCTTTTCAGATTTTATTAAACAGATATATTTATTACAGTTTTTTTACAGATGCTAGGACACATTTCTCAATACTTGGATCACTTTTGCAACACTTTTTACAGTGAGCACAACAGAAGTCCATGTGGGCTAAACTGAAGATCAATTATCATTGTTTTGGCACAAAATGCATTCAGTGACTAAATCTCTTAAATTTCATGAATACTTTTCTCACTCAGACACAACAACTGCCAACAATCTTTGTACATACAGGACATTTTGCATATGCTTACATACAGTTTTTAAAATGTTAAACTTCTGTCAAAACAAGAACATAATGCAAAACTGAATTGGACAGCAAAATTCAACAGCCACATTTTCTTGAAACATATTTCAAATCTAAAAATGCAGTTTAACCAGCCAGATTAGCATTACTATTGTATCTTTATCAGTGGATGGTGTCTATACAAATTCTTGTATTTTGGAATTAGTTAAATAATAAAAATAAATAAACAACATCAAATACTGAAAAAATCTGCATCATGTCCGATTCATTCCAGTAACATATATTGCAGTTATAAACAATTTATATTGCAATTATAAACAGAGATGTGTCCTTGCTTTACACAAGAAAACCCTGAGGAATGCTACATGTTGTTAGTGTTTTTAGGTCATCATTTTGTGGGTGACAAAGTGTGTTTGTTGGCTGTCAACCAGTGCTAGTGTTCTAGAAGAATGAGTATATTTGAGACCTGAATAAAGTGTTCTGGTAGTTGTAGTGCATTTTGAATGTGAAATAAACTGCTTTGCCAAGCTGAAAGTCAGTTAGGAGAATTTTGAAAAGCGACCTAAGTATTGAGAAATGTATCCAAGCGTCTGTAAAAACTGTAAAATAATATTTTAGTTACCAAACATATTTAGAAATTGAAATAATACAATTAAATAATTCAAGCAAAATATTGCAAAAAGTTACAACCTTTAAAATTGTAACAAAATTTTGCTTCTCTTGATTTTTCCTTTTTTTTTTTTGAAATATTGTATTTAATATTTTCCTATAACATAAATGTGGGTGTGCTGCTTTTTGGACCGTTATCGTAAGTTTTCTTTTTGTCATAAGCTCCAGATTTGGCTTCAGTACTGACTAATGTATATGCACAAATATAATATTGTATAGCTTCCTATTAAAAATATGAATTTAAAAGGTTTAGAAAAGATTTAAAGGTATATATGCTGAGCACTGTATATATAAATAAATTAATATCCGCCACTCCCTGAACAGCAGAACACAAGCTGTACATGTCGTTATTATTATTTGATGTTTGATACATTAATAAAGTGTGTTTTCTTTGAGTAGGTAAAACTAAAGCTTATTTATATTTAAGACTGCTTGAACTTTATTACAAAATTGTACACATGTGAATATGAATATAAATATGTGGTTGATACTGCAAAATGCTCTTGATATTACAGTCATTGTGATATTGCTGTTCAAAATAAAAGAGAATAGACTTTACTTGGACCCATTTAGCAAGCAGTCTTTTTAATAGCGTGTGGTTTATATACATGCTCCTGCCGAATGGGACATTTGATACACCCAACAAACAAAAACAAAACACTGCATACTGGCTTTTAGCTTGAATCTGCCCGTTATCAATCAAATCAAACAGTTTATTAAATTCCCAAAGGACATAAGTTAATCTCTTAGTCCTGAGGTGTTATCAGGGTGAAGGAGGACATGGATTCTATTCTATTCATTCTGAATTCTTTGGATAGGTTGAAAGGTCTATGATCCGTCTGGACACTGTTGTGAGAGAGCGTGAGGACGCCCTGCGCTTACTGCAGACGGGACAAGAGAAAGCCAGACCAGGCGAATGGAGACGAAATGTCTTTGGCCAAAACTTCTGGTAAGTAAATTGATTGTTTTGGCAACCGTTTTCTTAAGAGTATACTTTGTGTTAAACATAACTTACTATGAGCATGTTTGTTTATTAGGTACCGCTACAGGGAATACCCGATCCCCTGGTACCTGAATTCAAGATACAAAAGGAAGAAATTCTATGAACCTGCACACGTTTTCCCTTACACAAGGTATGTCTCGAATCTTAAAGGTATGATATGGGAGATGAATTATACTTCAGAGCTTTTGCGTTCCCCTAACATCTATTTGTGTTATTAGGGGGCTCTGTAATAATCTTATTGTCACTATATTCATTCATTCTTTTATCACTTTTTCAAGTTCCATTTCTCAGTGAAATGTCTTTGCCTTTATATTAATATTTCTATAAAATATAGATTAATTATATTTAGTTGTTGTGCAGTGATGTTTATTTCTGTTGTGATGCATTTTAGGTTGAGAATTGAAAAGTACCTGAAGAGCAAAGTCCGGAAAGAAAGAAGAGAAAAGAGAAACCAAAAAAGGCTCGCTGCAATGTTTCAGAAAAAGACTGCACTTGCATAAGCCCATTGAACATTGTCTTTTCATCACATCAACTTTTTTATTATTTCTCCAGAATTACAAAATATGTTGTACAGTCAAATAATAAATTACAACTTGTAACAGTGAAACTGTGGTGTTTGGGTTTGTATTTACCTTGTATTAAGTAAGTTTTACTGAATAAACAATTCTGAAGACGAGTCGAAACTTACTGTAGATGAGAGCCAATGCCTAGATACACATCCAGGAGTACACTAGTGCTCAGAATATGGATACATTATCGTGAACCCTCGATGCGCATATCCTAAACATATTATCAAGTGGCCATTTTGGAAATGTGAGCAGCAGCACAATTTAAAATAGATCAGAGCATTTTGTCACCACCAACAAAAGTAAAATCAAAATTTGGGGGTTACTCAACTGGAGAAAGAAACTAGACACGAGTCGTGCCATTTGAGTTGGAGAAGTTGCTTTTGAAAGTATTGCATAACAATAATCAGTTACTCTCCAAAAAAGTAACTAGTTTAGTTGCTTGGTTGCTTTTTATGGTAAGTAATGTGTTACATTACTTATGTGTTACGTTTTCTTACCTGGCTGAGGTTTGATATCTTTCAGAACTTGCAGGGTTTTTTTTTTTTAGAGGAGCTCTTATATTAAAAGCACACTGTATAATCTACACCGTCATTTACCCTATATATAACCCTGTTCCTGGAGATCTACCTTCCTAAAGAGTTCAGCCCCAACCCTGATCAAACCCGCATGAACCGAGAAATTAGAACCTGAACAGCACTTAAAATTTCAGGCAGGTGTGTTTGATATGGATTGCAAATGAAATCTGCAGGATAGTAGATCTCCAGAAACAGGGTTGAGCACCCCTGCTTTAAAGCAATGTGTTGGCTACTTTTTGTTTTTTTAGAAGGCCCTGCAGATTTTTAGCCCATCATTATTTCTGTTAATTTACTTGAATAAATGTGTGTAAATCTATATTTATTCAGTTTTTAAATTAATTACAGTAATATTAACTAATATGAAAATGTTCATTTGATTTGTGTACAATGCAGTTTGTACAGTAATATTTTCTTTCTTTTAGTAGATACATGAGAGATTTGCTTTGTTTACCAAATAAAGTGAATCTAATTGGATTTGCATTTTAAACATTAAATAAAAGTTAAAAAGATATGTTTATTTAATATATTAAGGTTTTAGTAATGATACTCCCATAATAATTCAGAAGAAACAGCAAAAAACATCTGCAGATTCCGTCTGGCCTAACTTTTTAGTCAATTAAAAATCAATGTCATTTAAAACAGTCCCATTTTCTTTTTCTTGGATGCGTTTAAAATGAGAATACTTGTGTTGCATAAGTACAATTCTCTCATTAAGTGTGTGATTCAACATGACTACGTTAATTTTAAGTCAGCAATTATTTTTAAAATACTAATTAAAGAAGTAACACATGATTTTTAAAGTAATGCATAACTTTTCTCGTTACTTAAAGTAATTACGTAACTTGTGTATCTTGTAATGTTACCTCCAACACTGTGTACAGCCATATAGCAGTGTTGAGAATGTCAGTTTCTGCTTCACAAGTGTGAGACATTCTACTGAAACCTCAATTGTTTGACTTGTATTGACTACGTTTCTAGTCTTGTTTTATCACTGACATGTTTCAGCACTTGCCACTATACTTTAGTTATTGAGCCAGAAACTTCAAAACCAGAATGAAGATCTGGACTTTTTTTCTTTGTAACTTTATGTAATTAGTTTTTTGTTAATGATAAATCTATTGTAATACTGGACAATCAGTGTTCAATAAAAACCGTAATACTGTTCTAAATAAATGTAATTACAAAACTGACCCGTATCGGGATAATCATCATATTGTGACTTTTGTGTTATGATATGTATCGTATTGTGACATCGCTGGTGATGCAAAGCCCTACACAATCACTGCATTGACAAGACAAGATAACTTCAGACCAGTTTAACAAAAACAATTTTATTCCTCAATCAGTTGATCCAGTTGTTAAAAGCATAACAAACATTTGTTTTCTGTGATCCATTTTCTAGAAAGTGACAAAGTGGTGTAAATAAAAAAAATAAAATAAAAAAAAACAGTAACTGTCCTAAACATAGAATTGAGGTTTCGCATATCCCCATAACCTTGTCACTGTTACTCTGAAATGAATTAGGTGGTCGGAAAAGTTTGTGTTGCCAAACTGGATATGAAAATATTGTGTAGAGTAGAAAAGAGTGCAACCATGTTAAACTGTTTAAAATATGGTTTGTTTGCACTAAAAATAACAGCAAGTGTCCTTAGTTCCTGAGTCCACTAACAAGGCTTTTTCTACTAGGTGGAGGTGTTATTTATTTTGATTTCATTTTCTGAAGGCAACCAGCTGTTGAAGGAACGTGTTAAGGGCACTTCCTGTCAACACACTGTTTGCCACCTTCTTCATACTCCTGTTTTGAAATCCACATTTGTTGGAAAGTTCCCTAAAAATGACACAAACGTTTGTCAGAAGTCATTATATTGTGATGTTAGTCCTGAATGAAGGCGGTATGCTAATGGTGAACATCTTAACAATAACACTAGCTTTTTTACATTGAAAGTTAGCTACAAAAGAAATAGCTAGAATGAAGCATAAATGATTAGCAAATAAAGCACTGTTTTATGCAGCACAAATCAATAATAAAACTTTGAGAAGTTGAGGAGCTGAAGAGTTTGGCTGAGTCTCATTCAGCTACTGAGGCTGTGTACATTTGGCCACTGGTAAGGGCTGTATCGTATCGGTATTGTATAATACTGTATAATAATAATTATTGTATACATTTTTTTTTTTAATATCGTGCATCTTAATGGGTAAAACAAAATATAACAAATGCAACAAAAAATGTTATAAGTCTTTTACATTAATCTAAGATAAAACGTTTTCAGGCAACATTTTACAAGAATAAAGTTAGCTTTTTTTATGTTTTGTGTTCAGAACATTATTTAGTGAGCATCAACGTCAGCTCATTATTTGTAAAAATAATGACTATATTCAGAAAAGAAAATAAACTGATAATTTTTAATTTGACAGTTTTTTCCCCTGAATGTTTCTAAATATTGTGAAACCTCTCTGTATTTGAATGAATTCTCTTGGCCTCAACAATCATGCAAGTAAAATCTGTTAATGACAGTTGTAGTGAACATTACTTACCAGGGATGCAAGGATGGATCCTCCAATCCAGGCGCTAAATCGGCGCTCCACAGTTGTGTTATTGGCTATTAGCTTAAGACGCATGCTCTGCAGAGGACACACACACACACACACACAATTAACATTGCCATTAAAAAAAAGCACTTAAGAGATCCGAACTGATGTGCCACTTACAGGTGGTGTCTTCTGCGAGAGTTCTCTGTTAAGTCTGTCTGTAAAGCCTTGAATGAGGGTATTTCCTCCTGTAACTACCACACTGCCATACAGACCCTGTTTTAAACACACACACACACACACAGTCAGAAGATTAAAAGTTACATGAAATTAAAATGAAGAGTTTTAGATGTTCGTTTCAGTTTGTCAATTTTAAGCATACCGATAAGTTAGTGTGCTCCAAAACAGTGACAAATTCACTTTTAGAAAAAATATAAAACTCATATAAACATTCAAAGCTTGTAGTCTGCCACTTGCTTCTAAATGGATCAACATTTTTTGTCACATTCTTCAGTTTCTCATCAAAGCTTGATCAATCAAATTCTCTCTAGTATCTGACAGACACTTCACATTTGCTTTTCATTTAATGCACTTCATCTCAACCCCTCTCACTTACAGAGCTGTGATAAAAACTTTTTTTTTTTTTAAGGGGAGGAGCTACTGTCTTCTTCACATGACCTTTAAATCACCTTGGTAGCAAAGATACAAATAATGTAGAAAGGGTATGAAAAGCAATGTTTTACCGGTCGAATGTCAATGTCACACATGCCAACGCTGGTGGTCACAACATGGCCGACTCCTAACATGGTGTTCCCTGATAGACCCTGTGAAAACATTTTAGGACAGTTTTAAAAAAAGGGTAAAACATTGGCAATTTTAGAATTAAATTTAATGCTACGCTTCAAGGATAATATTTCTCACCTTAGCATTTGAAGGGTCAAAAAGACCCTCAGGAATCTTAAGTCTTTCCGCTCCAAAGTCACAGTTGTAGCCATTAGGCAGCTCATAGTGAACAGTGGGCATCTGGGCAGCCACTCTGAGAAGGGCAGATTGTAACAATGTGGTAAATTCCCCCATCATGGCTAATATATAAATAAATAAACATATTCAAAAGTTTAAATTTAACTTAAAATGTTATTGCACTTTACTGAAAAGATTGGGGTCTGGGAGATTATTTGAATGTTTTTGGAAGATAACTCTTTTGTTAAGTCATTTGATCAAACAGTGTAAAAGACAGTGATATTGTTATACTGTTACAATTCAAAATGCTTTTTAATTGTATATTAAAATAGAAATGTAATGTATTAATTTGAAGGCCAAGCAGAATTTGACGATGATCATTGATTTTATACTCGATAAACATTTTCCAATTATCATCAATATTGAAAAATTTAAGCTTAACACTGGAACTACTAGAACTACCACAGCCGCCATTCTGACCATTCTCATTAAATATGTCATATTGTCACTTCCAATGTATATTCAAATCTTCTATTGAGATAATAAAGTCATTTTAGAAGTCACTACCCTACAATTATTTTATTAATAATTAAAAATAAGATGTTTTGGTAATACAGCATATCAATGTATAATTATGCTACGAGACAACCCGTGAATGTCCGCACCTCACTTTCATTTTCACAAGCAGGGGAGAAGGCTTTTTTTGAGACACTGAGGCCCAATTTGTCCCAATTCTTTTTAGCTTAAAGGTGTAAGGCTAAAGGGAAGGGGTAGATAGCCCCTTTTTTCAGGACCACACTCGAAACCAAGGGGTAAGAAAATTTCCCAGAATACACCAGCCACCATACAACAGGATTGCTGCACCCGGAAGTAAGGAGATCCACAAATTATTATTATTTTTTTGTAGATGAATATGGCCACTGTGTAAATGCACAGTACAGTTACAATCTTATTGCAACATAAGATCCTTAAAATAACATAATAAAAGCGTTCAGTGATTTCCTGAATATAAATACCAAAAAAATAACACAACTGGAATATCTACAGCAGTCATAATCGTCTGATCTCATATGAAGTAAGAGATTCCAACGACATGATAATGTGTGCAGGTGCTGTAGTGCTGTCCCACTTCTTAGGGGTACATTTTGAAGCCCTTCCCCTTCACACTCAGTTTTAAGGGCCATGGAGAAGAGGAAGGGGTAGGGGTACAAAAATAGAATTGTGATTGGGCCCGAATTTGCTGTTTTGAAAGACATATCTGAAGTAAAGATGTTTATGTTAGCAAAGAGTTGCTATATAATATATAATTACAGGTAAAAATACTCAAGAGTGTTTTGTCATTTTAATAAAATAGCAATGTTAGAAAGAAATATAAAGATATTTAGGAAAAGTCAGGGTATTATAGATATGGGGTTCTTATTTCAACAAAGTTATTCAATTAAACAAATAAAAAATGGTCAAAATGACCACCTCGGTAGTTCTAGGATTAAGAAAAATTTAGAAATTATTTCCACAGTATTTATTTTTCTTACTATGGAAGTTATCGGTTTCCAAAAGTTCAATTTGGGTGAACTATCCCTTTAATATTTCCATGAAGACAGTCATTATGCCTTTCAGGTTTCACTTGTTTCTTTGAATACAAATGTTAAAGGCATTATGTCATTTAAATAAATTTATTAAAAGTGCTGTATTAAAACATTGATTTATGACTAAATAAATCACTGATATTGACCACAAGCTATTTAAGCTGTATTAGTGAAAGGAAAGAAACTGAGCTTACTGTTCATCATAGGGTGAATCTGACACCTGAAGCACAGAGGCCTGAAAATCCTGGATGACGGTCTGAAATCACAAATTGCAACATTTAAGATTTTCTTCACATATCTCCATTAATGATAGCTTTGATAACTTACATTACACATATAGTTATGCCATGATCGGGTAACTTGAGGTAGTTTCTCCTTTTTCTTCCAACTAGCAGGAGTGCCTTCACGAACTGAATCCTTTAATGAAAACATAATGAAATTATTTGATTCAAACATTTTTATCAACTGAGAATCATAACCTTCAAAAGGCCTTACCTTTGATGCAATCATATAAGGAGGCACTATTTCAACACCTAACTCTTGAAACAGCTCTCTACATTGCATACTCATGAAGTCACCAGCAAGAGGAGACTTTACGATGCCTGGAAAATTATAAAACAGATTGCAGAAACAAAATAAAAGTTAAATATATATGCTCAGCATTAATGAGTACACCCCATTTTAAATATGAATATTTTGATTCATTTCTAAGCGAACATAGATCATACATTTTGGTGCATTTGAACAAAACAAACTTATTAAACATATATTTTTAAATTTAATAAAATAACATTTTAGTCACTAAACATCTTCAGAAATAGAAATATAATTCATGCAAAATATTGCAAAAAAAGCTACAAAATTTATACCAAATTCTCTATATATTTTTGTTTCTCTTGATCTTTTTTTTAATTTACAATTTTACAAAATAGTTTACTGTTATCTTAATTTATTTTGTTAGATAAGCTCCAGATCTGGCTTCAATAATAACTAATCTAATGCTTATGCACAAATATAATTTTGTAGTCATTCTATAGAAAATATTAATTTAAAAGAGATTTTTGAGGGGTGTACTCATATATGCTGACCACTGTATACATATATAGAAATCCCTTTTATTGCCATAAATGGATGAACTACTTTATTTATCATAAAATAATAATAAAAACATATTAAGTCCACAGATTCACTGTATAACATCTTAATTTGGTGTAATATTTTGTATAACGCTTTAAAAATTAATAATTTATTTTACAAATTAAATTCTAGCATATTAATATTGAAGTCTTAATGTGTTGAATTGAATTACCTTGTTGTAGGACATAACCATCATGCACTGGAATAGCAGTAGTATGTGTTGCTCCGCTATCTAACACTAAGCCTGTGGATCGTCCATTGGCAAACCTGAAATGCTGAGTAAAGGATTTAACATTCTGAACTTTCAATATGCATAACATGGCTGTACATCAAATAGAAATCATCTTTAATCATTCCTCTGCTTCAGTGCAAGCTTTAGCCACCTTTAAACATGACAATGCCTTTCACAAAGATGTATGCAACATTTTCAATGAAGGATACGCTGACAGCACAGCTGATTTACACAAGAAGAAAGCGGGAATGTTGTAATGCTCAAACATCAGCTCCGTCAGCTTCTCTCTTTTCGCTCGTGTGTTCCACTGCAGGATGAACAAATCAAGATCGCGTGAGTCAAATGAAGCATCCTAGCAGATTACACACGTGATGTTTTCTGCAGGTTCGAGTTCTATGCCATGATATTTACATACCGAGGCCTCTGACATCAGGACTGGATGCAGACCGGGCTGTGACTTGAAGTGCATTTTGTAGGTATGATCTAAAATGGCTTGAAAACTGTCCCAGTCCTCAACTTTAGAAAGGGAAAAAAACACATGAAATAGATGGGTATTTGAGTCAGTGAAAGATGTCACATCACTTTTTTTCAAAAGTGATTTGCTTAAACGGATAGTTCACACAAATTTCCTGTTAATTTACTTATACACAGGTCTTTAATGATGTAGGTGACTTTTTCTTCAGTAGAACATGAAGACTTTTGGCTAAATCTGTGGTCCTTGGTGATTCATATAATGGCAGTGAAAGGTGATTTGTTTTTGTTTTTTTAGATTAAAATAAACAAAAACAAATGAGTTACCATGAAATCAATTACCATGTCTTCTGATGACACAGGGAGGTCATGTGAACTGAAACAGTTGGTCCGTGGAAGAAATTTGTCATTATTTACAATATTATAAGCTTTAATCTACAACCTATGTAAACAGTGCTCAGCACATGTGCGAATGCAGTCTTGTCACTTTTGATGATGAGGGCTGGTGATGCAAACACCAATATCCATCAACAAACTGCATCACCTGACCTTTCATCAAACATGTCCTCTCATGCTTGCATCATAATAGCTTCAAAGCTTGCATCAAAACTATTTGCCATGGTTATTGATGAGATTAGATTCAACTTTATTGTCAATACACATGTACAAAGACAAGGCAACGTAATGCAGTTAAGTCTAACCAGGAGTGCAATAGCAGCAACTGCAGGATTCAGATATAAGTTATAAAGTGCAGTTATAGAAATGGTAATATTTACAGATGGATGTACTATCAACATTATATACAGGCTGTATTAGCTATGAACAGAGATTTAAAATAAATGAATATATGTACAGATTGCTATTAATAGTCAGAAGTGTGCAGATAGATAAACATAATTACAGATGTACATGAACAGTGGGTATGTGCAGTTCAAATGAATGAATCAGTATAATGTAATGCAATGAATATGTGCCAATTTTAAATGTGCAAATGTTAAACATGGCAGTGATTGTGAGGAGTCTAAGTTTTGAAGAGAGTGAAGGTGTATTAGGGCGGGCAAAAGAGTCAAAGAGATTAGGACTCATTTGTATGCGTTTATTTTTAATAGAAAAACTGATCACCATTCACTGCAATTACATGAATCCCCAGGATCATGGGTTCAGCTAAACATCTTTTTTAATGTGCTACTAAAGAAAAAATGCACTGGATGACTAAAACATTTAGTCTGAAACTGGCATTCCTGGTTTTTGGCTGAAAAAAAAAAGTCAGAATATAGAAAGAAAACAGAAACAGTGCTTAGATTGCAATCTTGCTGTAGCACTTATTACAGCCCTACACAATTATCATATTCATTTAGAATACTTTCAAAATCACAATCCTTACAATTATATCCCTACTCTACATCCATCTCAAGTAAGCAGTGTATTTAAAAATTGTTCATTTTGATTCTGTTCGAAAGGGCTGAATGAAGAATAGGCATGGGGCGGTATAAGTTTCTGATTGTATGATAATCATGGATAAAAATATCAAGGTTTCACGGTATTGTGATTACTGCTCTGAGTTCTTTTTATATATCTGGGTAAAAAAAATGTGAAAATGTTTTGCCCCATTGAACGAATACATTTATGAATACATATACATATTAGGAAACATTTATAATTTTATTTAATTTTATTTTAATTTAATTTGTAATTTATAATGTTTGAGCAGTAAACATGTCAGGTTAAACTATTTAAATAAATCATTGACTTCTGCTCTCTTCATTAGTTTCAAAAATGCAGATTTCTTAACACAAAAAAAAACACATTTAAAAACCTTTAGACCTTAGGTGCGGCATAACAAAATTTTAGCTTTGACCTAAAACCTTGACTTTTCCAAACCACTGTAAACCTTGAAACCAGTTATCATTCCATGCATAATGAAGAACGATAAATTTTGAAAAATTAAAGTTTTCAGTTTTATCCTAGAATTTACTTAAGTGCATCACAAGAGTCTACTTTAATGTTTCAAACTACTTTGACAACAATATAAAAGGTAAAAACATGGTAATTCAGTTTAACAGTCATTCAGTACAACAGATATTTTGTGAATAAATGAAGCAACATATTTATTCTGACCTGTATGTAACAAAATACATAAAAGAATGGAAATTTGTGCTAAACTCTATAATATACTAAAAATTATTTAAACGTCTTGCCTACACAAGATAAAATAAATCATGTGGTTTGAAGGACAATGACAGGTGGCAAAAATAAATATAACAGTTACACAATTAGAATTTTGAGGCCACACTTTATCCATAAATAAGCCTTATTTGTCACCAAAATATTTTCATTTTAAATATGATTGATATGGATTTTGTTGTATACAAACTATCGATTGCCATTTCAGTGAGCATTTTCTGGAAATGATGACAAATAATAAACATATGATGGTCATTATTGTTTTGAGGAAAAGAAAAAAATACAATTAAACAGGACACAAATAAAACTTACTCATCCCATTTTTGAGAGGTGACATGACCTCCATGCTTTCTCTAGGAACCCTGAGCTGGTTGGTGTCAATGAAGTAGGTGGTTCCGCTTTGCTTTCCTTTCTCCCCATCTGTCTCCATCGGTGTACTGCCATCTTCCCGGTCCAGAGTCACACCAATCACAGTAGGAAAATCAGCCTACAAATCCACAAAACAAATCTTATTTCTGCTGTAAACAAATACATTTTCAGCTTCACCTGCAATACATGTTTTCATCTCACTGCTCATACCTTGGGACAATCCTCTCCTGCATATCCAGCTCTCACTGAATACGAGCCCATATCAAAGACAAGAGCTCCAACTTCATCTGTGAAAAGATGAAAAAAAAACAGATGAGGTTACAGTATTAACACAAGTTAATGTTTCTATACAATAAACTGGCAATCGTGCACGCGAGTTCGTTAAAATACAAAACTCTTACTTCATATTATTTATATTTACAACACACAGCTAGCAATATATGGTGTATTCTGCATTATACACAAGATAACAACTTAAACATGGGCTCTGTTTTGTTTCCACAAAATAATAACAGAACCAAATCATGCTAGTTTGAAGGCTAGCGAGCTCTTAAACGTGGCGCATCCATTCATTTGATTCTCCCTCCAAAACCGCACTTACCTCCTCCGTAGACTCCGCCACTCATTTTTACGGCTGATCAATACCGACAGACGACAACTGCTTGATTTCTTAATCCAGAAGCTGAGATTTTAAGTAAGACTACGTTTTTTTCGATATCACAACAAAGGAAACGAATCAGACATCTTTGTCTCGGAGGGGATTACGGTGGACTGCGGCTGGGCAAGATTTAGCAGCGCCACCAAATGGCCTGGAGGAAGAAGTGAAACAACGCAGACAGACCATCGCTTTGTAAGATTCACAAGTCAAATTTTAATGAAACTCGGAGACTTTTGTCTGTGGTTGTTTTTTACATGAATTATCTAAAAACTGAATAAATAAGCCTTTTATTGATGTTTGTTTTGTCAGGACATGACAGTATTTAACTGTTTTTAGACAAATAGCTACTTAATTAAAACTAAAAATCTAATCTGAGGCTTAAAAAATCTGAATTTTAAGAAATTATTAAAATTCAATCACTTTTGCTGGCATCTATTCAAAAATAATGTTTTTTATGGTGGGCAATTTACAAAATGTCTGCACGGAACAAAATCTTTACTCTATTATTTTTCACATAAAACCGCCAGCTTATCCAGCACGTTTTTACACAGCAGATGCCATCCAGCCGCAACCCTTCTCTGGGAAACATCCACACACGCTCATTCACACACACACTCATACATTACGGACAATTTCATTCATTCATTCATTCATTCATTCATTCATTTTCTTGTCGATTTAGTCCCTTTATTAATCCGGGGTCGCCACAGCGAAATGAACCGCCAACTTATCCAGCAAGTTTTTACGCAGCGGATGCCCTTTCAGCCGCAACCCATCTCTGGGAAACATTCACACACACACACACACACACACACACACACACACACACACACACACACACACACACACACACACACACACACACTCATGCACTACAGACAATTTAGCCTACCCAATTCACCTGTACCGCATGTTTTAGGACTGTGGGGGAAACCGGAGCACACGGAGGAAACCCACGTTAACGCAGGGAGAACATGCAAACTCCACACAGAAACGCCAACTGACCTGCCGAGGCTCGAACCAGCCACCTTCTTGCTGTGAGGCGACAGCACTACCTACTGCGCCACTGCGTCGCCCACATATATACAATTATATACAATTTTATATTTTGATTATTCCCACAAATATAGACGTTTTAAATGGTTTTGTGGTCCAGGGACAGGTAATCATTCAAGTAGCACATTTACAGTTGGCTCTTATACAGTTAATGCACTGTGAGTTACTTTATTTTCAATATTAACAAACATGCATAAATACTGTAATAAATGACATTAACATCCGTATACAATATTCAGTGTAAAATGCTGGGTTCCACACAATTTTTTTTCATGTTGTCCCAGCACAAATCAAATCTGTTACTTAATCATTTTTACACATTTAAGTGTATTAAACATAAGTTTTCCCAAACACAAGTTTTCCCATGAAAAAAAATAAGAACTGTGTTGTTTCAACACATTTTAAATGATTGGCTTGGAAAAAGCCTTTTTGAATGTTAATGTAAAGTGTGCATTTTTATTTTGTTGGGATTAAGTAACTTTTACATATTTAATCAATTAAAAATGTTTGTTCAATTCATTTATATTTATTTGATTAAAGAAAAAGAATTTAGAAATTATTTTTTATTATTAAATCTATCTTTTTGTTTTGATCAAAGACGTAATGTTAATTAATTGATTTTTCTCAATTGTTTCGATGGACACAAAATATTGGTTAAGGTAAATTATTTATTTTATATTGGCTCAAGTAAGGTGACACGGTGACGCAGGGTAGCACTGTCACCTCACAGAAAGAAGGTCGCTGGTTCGAGCCTTAGTTGGATCAGTTGGGATTTCTGTGTGGAGTTTGCATGTTCTCCCAGTGTTCATGGGGTATTCCTCCGGGTGCTTCAGTTTTCCCCACAATGTGGTATGTGAATTGGGTAAGCAAAAATTGTCCATAGTGTATGTGTGTAAATGAGTGAATGAGTGTGTATGGATGTTTCCCAGTGATGGGTTGCAGCTAGAAGGGCATCCGCTGCGTAAAACAGATGCTGTAAAATATAAGTTGGCGGTTGAGTCCGCTGTGGTTACCCCAGATTAATAAAGAGACTAAGTTGAAAAGAAAATGAATGAATGAATGAATGAATGAATGAATGAATGAATGAATGAATGAATGAATGAATGAACGAATGGCTCAAGTGATCAAGTTTAGTTTAGTGAAGCATTACCCTATTTTCTTTGAACTGGATAAATCAAAACTTTTTGCAGATATACAAAGAAGGAGTATTGTCTGTGAACTGCCTAATGTGGGATGCAAAATGAAAAAAAAGCAGTAAAGTCAATCTGTAATTCAAATATCACAAAATGTGAAATCTAGCACAACATTTATTTTTCTGCATTTCTGAATTTGTTCTTACTGACCTAAATTTGCCCATATAATCATAATCCTGAAAGTCTTTGTAAATGAACCATATCCTTCTCCTTAAATAAAAATGACATCAAATGCTAAATAAATTTACCTTCAAATTCTTATAGGCTGCAAAGCAGTAGGCTTGTAAAATGTTGATTTTGTTGAATGACAATAAATATCAGTTTACATCTACAACCATTCAGTTTCTAGTATTATTTATCCATTGAGATTATTGTTTGCACAAGAAGTCTCACAATGGACAGTGCCGAGCACAGAGATCTAATCTCACCAGTCTCCCTGGAAAGTCATAAAATGAGACAGGCTGTTCTAATGATCTGTTCTAGAATGTACCAGTAGCTCAATGTGTCATGCTTCATCTAATAAAATAGGGGTAGCACATCTTGTCAGCTTTAAATGTCGATCAGCATGAACTACCACTTTAAATAAGGATATAAAACAGGAGTAGCACATTTTGTCAGCTTCAAATGTATCAGAGTGAACTATCACTTTATATTTTTATGCTTTTAAGTTTCCGTATAATAATTTAACAGAAAACTAAGGATATACTGTACATTTACTAGATTTTCTGTTTGTTTTAAATAAAGTCATCTTAAGAAGTTAATAATAATAATGACCTAAAAAATGAATAAATTATATATATTTATACAGTTAAAGTCAGAATTATTAGCCCCCCTGTTTATTTTTTCCCCAATTTCTGTTTAACACATAGAGGATTTTTTTCAACACATTTATAAACAGAATAGTTTTAACAACTCATCTCTAATCACTGATTTATTTTATCTTTGTCATGATGACAGTAAATAATATTTGACTAGATATTTTTCAAGACACTTCTATGCAGCTTAAAGTGACATTTAAAGGTTTAACTAGGTAAATAGGTTAACTAGGCAGTTTAGGGTGTTTAGGCAGGTTATTGTATAACAATGGTTTGTTCTGTAGACTATCGAAAAATATAGCTTAAAGGGGCTAATAGTTTTGACCTTAAAGCTTTTTTTTTTTTTAACTGCTTTTATTCTAGCCGAAGTAAAACAAATAAGACATTCTTCAGAAGAAAAAATATTATCAGGCATACTGTGAAAAATTCCTTGCTCTGTTAAACATAATTTGGAAAATATTTAAAATAAGAAACAAATTCAAAAGGGGGGTGGGTGGTGGGGGGTAATAATTCTGATTTCAACTGTGTGTATATTATATATACATGCAAACAAACACATACATAATAAAACATTTTGCGGTTGCACAGGTGCGATTTTGAGATTTTCATTTTAGGATCAGCTTCTTATATATGGAGAAACTGATGGTGTAGAGAATAATAACAACAAATAACTTACTGTTAACAGGATGTGTATATTGGTATTACATTAACTTTCATCAGTATTTTACTTATACATTCATTTTTCAGTACATTCATTTTCATCAGTATATTAAATATATTTGTAGAACCGCTTTCACAATCAGACTCTGTCCCACTTCAGCTGACCTTGCACCTGTACACTGATACTAAGTTATTTTTCTGGATTTCAACTCCTCCTGATAAAAAACACTGAGTCAAAACATTGAATAGTTGTTTTGATTTGGCGGTCTGCCATCTCCTTTAACAACTGAGACAAGATGGTCGAGCTGCTGAAGGAGCTGTGCTGGGAAAACTGTAGGAGTTTCTTCCAGTTAGGTCACAGTACTCACATAAATAAAGGTCTTTTCGTGTGATAGTTGGTAGGCCTTTTTAGTGGAATTTTATCTAGCTTACTAATTTAAGCTTGTCGACTGATAATGATGTGCACAATTTGTTATTTAGCAAAGATATTTCCTAGAATTTTGTGAAATTGCTTACTCTTCTATGTTACAACTTAGGTATTGATTTACAGAAATTATTTAAACTAAGTTTATTCATTCATTCATTCATTCATTTTCTTTTCAGCATGGCCCCTTTATTAATCCGGGGTCGCCACAGCAGAATGAACCGCCAACATATCCAGCATATGTTTTACGCAGCAGTTGCCCTTCCAGCTGCAACCCATCACTTGGAAACATCCATACACACTTATTCACACACATACACTACGGACAATTTTAGATTACCCAATTCACCAGTAGAAAATTTTTTTGGACTTGTGTGGTCAACCTGAGCACCCGGAGGAAATCCACACGAACACAAGGAGAACATGCTAACTCCACACAGAAACGCCAACTCACCCAGCCGGGGCTCAAACCAGCGACCTTCTTGCACCACATCGCCGCTATTTAAACTAAGTTTAAATCAATTTTACAAATTTTAAAAATAAAGTTTAAAAATAACTAAATACAACAATACTATTAATAATCATGAGGTGCATCTCTTGTAAATAGTAGCTACATTTGAAAATTCATGTATAACAGCCTATTTGTATTTTCTTATAAAATGAACTGATTTTGGAGCTTTTTTTTTTTTTGATCTTCCAAGAATAAAATCCAAAGTTAAAAATGCAACTATTTTTCTATTTCACAATATTAAAATAAAAGACGATTTTCTAGATCTTCTAGGGGTATTTTGTTGTGCTGAATGTTCGACTCATGAAAAATAATTGTTAAGCTTAACCATAAACAAAAAAGAATATTATTAAATGTCTCAAAAAATATTTAAGAAGTATTGCAGATCAGCAAATAAGAATGGTGTAATTGCTGTTCCACTGTTATCAGTGCTTCCATAATGTGTTTTTTTCATCTGTCCAATATACCAAATGGGTTGAATAAAATGTGAGGTACAGCAAC